TTTGGATGCATGATACAGTTCTATATCTCCCCATTCCCCATTAATAACCATCTATACCTTCATATATAATCTAATTAACTTTTTAAAATAACTTTCTATTATGCAGATTGGAGGAAAAAATTTCCAATGCAGAGTCAGAAAATCAAGTTCTTCGCCAGCAAGCTCTGGCTGTATCACCAACTGGAAAGGCTCTGTCTGCAAGACCAAGGACAGTAATTATTCAGGTAAGAAATAAAACACAATGTCATTACTTGACATTATAGTATATGAAGAGAGATTCACAATGAGATTTCTTATACAATATGCAGAGGACACCTGAAAATGGAAATGCTCTAAATGGTGAACCAAAAATTGGATCTGTAAGAAAACTGTTGTTTTTGATAAGTATATAACAGCAATTAACTTTGGTGATGGGTGGTTTTGTTTAATTTTTTAAATTCCTACCTTCTATATGTTTCAGGATATGACTCTTGCTGTATCCAATGTGCGTGAGCCTGAATCTGAGGGAAAACCACAAAAATCTCTCAATGAGAAGCAGCAAGTGAGTGGCTACATAGATTCATTGAATAATCTGAATCTGTTACAGATAGTTAAAACCAACTTATCAATTTAAATATTTTCCCCCTCATTTCCTAGTTAATTTCTCTTAAAAATTTCCCTTGTTCAGGAAAACCAGGACTTATTGATCAAGTGCATATCACAAGATTTGGGATTTTCTGGGGGAAAACCTGTTGCTGCTTGTGTCATATATAAATGCCTTCTTCACTGGAGATCATTTGAAGTTGAAAGAACAAGTGTATTTGACCGTATCATTCAAACAATAGCTTCGGCTGTTGAGGTAACTAAACTCTTTTGGTTTATTAGTATATTATTCATGATGCAGTGCTTTTGCATTTAAAAGTACTTGTGTCAATTTCTGAAATACCAAAAATGTTACTAACAGTAAATTCTTCACCATTGAAGGCCCAGGATAATACTGATGTATTAGCCTATTGGTTGTCTAATACATCTACTTTGTTGTTGCTGCTCCAACGCACACTCAAAGCTAGTGGAGCTGCTAGCTTAACACCACAACGGCGGAGAACAGCATCATCTTCTCTGTTTGGAAGAATGTCTCAAGTATGAAGCAACTGCATATCCTTTCTGAAGAAAACTTTATCAGTTTATGTGGATTTCATTTATCTTATTACAATTTTGGCTGCCTTCTGTGATTCTAGGGGTTAAGGGCATCTCCCCAAACTGCTGGATTGCCATTTATAAATGGTCGAGGACTTAATAGACTGGATGATTTACGACAAGTAGAAGCTAAATATCCAGCACTGCTTTTTAAGCAGCAGCTTACTGCCTTCCTTGAAAAGATATATGGAATGATAAGAGACAATCTAAAAAAGGAGATATCTCCATTACTTGGACTGTGTATACAGGTAATTAGATATGTAAAAAAAAAAAAATTGGGGAGGGAGGGGGGTGGGTAGCAATTAAAATTTGTGAAATTCTCATTGGTTAAGGGGCTTTAGCAATTAACAAATCATGTGGGTTTTAAGTGAATATCATCTAATATTATATTAGTTGTACATGAATCACAACTATTATTTATTCAAATTCAAAAGAATTTTTTTTTTATAGAATATCAGACATGCAGGACACATGAAGGAGGCACCGGTGCCTGTAGTTACTGCTGAAGATTGATAACTATTAAAGAGAGCATTTTCCTCTCTACATGATTAATTAGAGAGAAATCCATAGAAAGGAACAGTTTTTGTCTGCTAATTGCAATTGAAATAAATTGTTTACAAGCAATCCCAAAATTTTAGTTCGATTTTGTTTACATCCTTTGTCAACATGAAGGGTCAAGCTACCCAGTAATTAACAAGGTTAACTCTGGGTGTTTCTGTTTGTTTATTTATCTTATTTTTGTGATCAATTGCAGGCTCCGAGAACCTCACGTCAAAGTTTAGTAAAGGGACGTGCACATGCAAATGCAGTTGCTCAGCAAGCTTTAATTGCTCACTGGCAAAGTATTGTGAAAAGCTTAAACAGTTATCTAAAGATAATGAAAGCAAACTATGTGGGTTTCACTTTGAATATCTGTATTTCCATTGTCTAAATATGGATATATGTTCTTAACCAACCAAGATCTGGTTTAACAGGTGCCCGCATTCTTGGTACGTAAAGTGTTTACACAAATATTCTCATTCATCAATGTTCAATTATTCAATAGGTAAATCTCTCTCTCCCCATGCATTGCATGCATATTGTGGAATGCGGACCTTTTCATGGACTTGACCCATTATAATTACTGCAGCCTTCTGTTGCGTCGCGAGTGTTGTTCATTCAGCAATGGGGAATATGTAAAAACAGGTCTGGCTGAATTAGAGCAGTGGTGCGTCGAGGCAACAGAGGAGGTGAGAAACAAGCAACTACTTCAGATCTTTTTTACTTTTTCCATTTTTAAATCTCCCCTCAAACTCTCCTGTGCAGTATACCGGCTCAGCTTGGGAGGAACTGAAACATATCAGGCAAGCTGTTGGATTCCTGGTAAGATTCACTTCTAGACTAATTCAACTTCAATTCATTATTGATTATAGCGGAAACCTCTGACACTCATTCTTCAATCTCAGGTGATACACCAAAAACCCAAAAAGTCCCTGAATGAAATAACAAAGGAGCTTTGCCCTGTGGGTGCCTTCTTCCTTTCTGTCAACTATTAATGAGATCATACTTCTGATTCTCTTACTAAGTATAATCTTCTGGTGCTACAGGTTCTCAGTATACAACAGTTATACAGGATAAGTACAATGTACTGGGATGACAAATACGGCACTCACAGTGTGTCTACAGACGTAAGTTATCCTTGCAAACTTGTGTTACTAATCTGTTCGTAATATTTTCACCAGTTGAATAATGAATATGTACATCTTGTGAGCAATTCCGAAGTTGGAGCACTTGCAATGTTCATAAATCTCAAATCATCTCTCCTGATTGATTATATGCAGGTTATAACAAGCATGAGAACAATGATGTCTGAGGACTCTAATAATGCTGTCAGCACTTCTTTCCTATTGGATGATGATTCAAGGTACGGAACTTCATCAAACAGTTTAATGTGTCATTGCTTGTCTTGGTCTGTATCATTTCTTAAACCTTGAATATGGATGCAGCATTCCATTTTCGGTGGATGACATTTCCAAATCAATGCAACAAGTAGAGGTTGCAGACGTGGATCCTCCTCCGTTGATACGTGAGAACTCAGGATTTGGGTTCTTACTAGCACGGTCAGAGTGATACAAATGACTGGTGGTTATTGCATCTCATGCTCCATCTTGTGGCTATCACTGGGGTATTGCACCATGGTGCAGGTGCCAAGCTGTGCATATTTCGTTGTCGTCACGTGTATAGTAGTAAACTTAGCCAATTCAGGCTTCTAATATTGGTTTGTTGCCTGAGTTAATTCATTTTTACCCCTCAAGTTTCATCAACACGAGGGGTTTTGTTAAGAAGCCATGTCACTGTTGATGCGAGTCACGTGACAAATGGCGTTCATAGGTAAAGGCTGGTGTCCAGGCATTCTGTCACACCTGCCAAGGTTATTTTTTCATATGGTTTGTTTTCAAGTGTTATAGGTGGATGCAATTAGCGACTCCCATGTATTTTATAGGCGAGCATATTTGTTTCACGCGATTGCTATTTGTATTTACTTGTGCAATATTCTTTCTTTCTTTTTTCAAATTTAAACTTAAGATAGGTTTTTATTTTTTTTGAACGACTGAGTTATAATGGAAGATGACTCAGTGCACCTGTACAGACGTGAGATCATTTATTTGAGTTTCATTTTTTTAAGGAGTTAATTGTATCTTGGAATGTCATGTCGAAAACTATTTAGAGGACTAGCGTAATGTGGATTGTGGACTATGAAAGAAAATTTCTACTTGAAATTTACATCTAGAAATATTTATTCAAGGTTAATTCAATTAATCGATGATAGTGGTTGGTAGTGAAGGGCCTATTTATATATGTAAAGTATGAAATCTTGAAAGCAATGCACAATTAGGTCGAGAAATAATAACAACTAACAATTTTCTCCTATTGGTTAATAAATACTTGCTTTAAATACGTGTAAAAAAAATCGTGAAAAAAATAAAGCTCATTATTTTTAAAGTGGAAAAATAGATATATGTTAATAAAAGATGATTAACTTTTATCTAGATGAATAGAGAAAAAAAAGTCTTGAAGATGGATAATTTAGGTGAAAAATGAAAAATTAAGAAAATAAAATGTATAATTATACGAAATAATACAGATACCCTTATCATTGTATGATGAGATGTAAAGAAATTAAGCATAATATTTTATAAATTTTATAAGAATTAATATAAATATTAACGACTTACTGTTTATAAATTTAACTCAATTTTATAAATACAAATGTTCGTCAATAAATTTATTTACAAAGTTACAATATGATATTATAATACAAGTCACTAAAAATTTAATACCTTGTAGAAAAAAAAAAGAAGAAAGATTTGGCACCGCCATCTTTCTCTCTATCTCTTCCTAACCCCATGGGCCATGGTCAAAAGGCCCTCCTACCAGCCTTATCCCCAAAGTCCCCAACCCAACCAATTTTCCCCAACTAACCCCAACAACACCCATCACCAAGCAAATTGTCAATAATGCGCAAAAGTTGAAATGGTGAATCTTTGAAACAGGCAAAATATCAATAAATTATAAGGATGAACGTTGAGTGATATATAAGTAGCAATATTTATACATCTAATGTATTAAAGTCTTAAGTTACATATCATGTTAAGTTTACTTGTCCAATTAACTCATGAATCATTAAATTAGAGATCGTAATTACAGGTACCCATTACCGTTAGATACAAGTCCTATTCACTTTTTAACAGCTTGAAGTAAGACGATATATATGCTTGTAAATTTTTATTCCAAGAATAACTTCGTAATAAAAACCATCATGGGATTTCCAATCCAAACGAAGGTAAGGAAAAAAACAATTTTGATTTGAGACAACCAAACATGGAAAGGAGTTTGAGACATGGGCAGAGTGAAACTTGTGCAAATAAATGAATGAAACTGGAGTAAAAAGAAAAAGCTACAGAAGGCACAGGCACTTAGGAGACTGTTCTAAAAGTATATTCAAATGATGGAAAGCACGTTGAACGAGAAAGGAAATAGAAATATGCGTTCTATATCCCTTCCCCTCCTCTCTCCCCACCCACCCCATATCCGTATTCTCAGTAAAACAAATCAACAAATACAATTACAAATTCAACAAAATACGTTGATATTAGTTGAGTAAGGAGTGAGATGTCACAACAACATTGTTTTAACATCCTACCATTTTCCATCACTATTGATCAATGGATTGAGGTTGCACCTCTGATTTCATTTTCTCCTTGAGAATTGCCTGCCTAGGCATTACTTCTAACAGAAAACTTCCTCCGTTCCATACTGAGGCTGAAACCTTGAGTATTTGAAAAACTACATGCAATTCATATGACAAGAATATGGGGACAGTAAGTGCCATGGTTGCCACAGTAAATAAGCCTTGAAGAAAAATGTACATTAGCATGCGATTTTGATCCCCAAGCAACCCACTTAAGCGCCACCATATGTTGTTTGCTTTCTGAGCCTTTTTCGAGAGTTCCCTATCAAACAACAATGAGAAAGGTGAAGGGAAGATCTATTCCACCAAATTCTAAAATACATAAAATCATCTTAAACTTGGAAGTTTTAACACTTATCAGAACTTCTATCTGAGTAGAAAATGTTTTTTTATGACCTTGGAGTTTGAGGGATAGGGGAGTATATGTATATTCATTGGTTACCTGTAGGAAGTCATAACTTCAGGATCTCTTAAAAGCCTTTGTCTGCGTAAGACGTTGACAATGAGGAAGTATAGAAGCTGCCACAAGGTGTAAGCTACCAAGGGAACCAGAAACAGCCATGTCCAGAGAAAGGATTTATCTTCGACATAAGGCCATGTAGGCCTTCGAGCAGTTCCCTCTGGATGCATGGCTTCAAAGGTTGCAGGATTCCACCATCGAATAGTAAAGAAAACCAATCCTGGAAAGAACTTCTGCGTTAAAGGCATAATAAAAAGCAAACAGATACAATTGGCTCATATCATAAATCTGTTCTACTAGTTGCATATCTCTAACAATGAGATATCTGAATAGAAGTTCAACAGAACTACTTTGTTGAAGGCATCACTATACTAAAATGGATAGAAGAAGATTTAGTAAATCTATCACAAGTTCAACCCACTGGTTGCATATGGAAGCATGGACTTGGAAGAAATAGACACCCCGGCATAGGTAGGAATTGCTTAAAATTATTATGGAAGTAGAAACTAAGAAAATATAACAGTACTCAGAAGTGATTTGTGAGCTCTATACAAATATTGCATGAAATTGTCCAACTTTATTCTGACTTTGAAAGCTAATTTATATCATATCACTGAACACACTTAATAAAAGTTGAAGAATTATGAATACTGATTAGACCTGTCTCCTCGTAATGCTAACCAAAGATTACACATCAAATCTAGAATACGACTCTTGAACACCATTTTTACTTCCAACTACCTTCTAACATGAGGATCTGGAAGCAGAAAAATGGCCGATGAAAACAAGGCCTAATACCACTTCAGAAACTTATTAACTTTGAATAGAATAATCATCTAGATAATAGAATCTAAACACAAAGCAAGAAGATTACATTTTACCATAAATATTTCATCAAAAAGTAAAGTTCTATCTCCTAGAATTCTGTACTTGATGTGTTTGAATTATAGGTCTTTAGGTAGGGAAGGAAGAAGAGAGACAACACAGGCTAAACAATCTGAAATTGATATTGATATTCATTTGATGTGAAGGATGGGATATTATGTGATATGATATTTTCATATATTGCCTCTTCCTCAAATTAAAGCTTACTGAGTTTTAAGCTTTTGATACAAATGAATATGAATCCTTTAAAAATGAAAAGTATAATTCAGTATCCAAAAAAACGTGGCTAGAAAGGTAACTTGTGGATGCTGGAGAAATCAGATAGATTAGCGCTGTAAGAAATTTAACATGGCAAGATAGCTGGTATGATCATCAGCCCAAAGAGTTGGTTGGAGTGTTGCATTATCAGGGAAAAAGGCTTCATTAGAATGATCATCAAGATATTATTGGAAATTTCTTGACTAACAGTTATAAACAACAAGAACTAAAACTTCTTCCAATTCATCAAGAACAACATTTTGGAAGCTTTACACAGCAAAAAAACTTAAAGAAGCTAAAAAAAAAATGGAAATAAACTTGTCACGGAGATAGGGTCACATTGCAACATAGACTGACTGGGGGGGGACAACGTATCTGGGACTGGGGAGTGGTAACTGTGCCAGAACATCCATGAAGAGAATACAAACGCTTGCATCTAGGATGGAGACAGGGCAAAGTATCTGGGACTGGAGACATTAGGCCTAACTGCATGTTACTGCTCTAATATCATGTTATAATCGCAGAGATTTGGGTAGGGAAGGAAGAATAGATATATATAGATTCAATAACATGAAATTAATATTGATTTAGTGTGAATGACGTTATATGATATGATGTCATATTTTTCATACATTCTCACAACATTCATACAGCATACACTTAACATTCTTTTCTAGATAAAAAACAGATAAATCTTACACCCAATATTTGACTATTGAAGGTAGACTTCAACAATTATTGCAACAGAAGCCTACAATTTCCCAGAATTTCTTTTTCGCGCTGAAAAAAAATATAGAAACTATTTACATGAAAGTCTAATAATTTACCAGGTAAAAGATGGATAAGAACACTGACAATTTTGTCAAGAGAACTGAAAACCAAGCTGCAGCGCCAAACAATCAAAGCCCATGCTAATGGCCCCTGCAAAAGCTCTTGAATAAGATGCAAAATTGACAAATGAATCGTTCTTTGGCTAAGGAGCCAAATTACCATGAATAACTCTCTTACCTCCGCAAAAGAAAAGCAAACCATGAAAAGTTTCTCGTTTGATGGATAAAAAAGAAGATCAACCAAGAATATTGTATTGGCATAATAGCAAAAATCCTGAAACACGAGAAATCATGTAAATAATTTACTTACATTGCAGGAAACTCATAAAATAATAATATTAAGTACTGGATCAGCGTGATAGTGGATTATATTATTGATTAATGGGAATTGAGACACTATTCTAGCCATTTTAATTATTAATGAAGGGAAACGCAGTTTAAATTGACAAAGCCTTTGTAATTACTAATAGAACTTTGTGGTCTAAAAGATCTGACCAATCAGATTAATGTTTTAAAAGTCTATTGTTTCTAAATGCTCTATTGCACATAACAACCATGTCAGTAGTTGGTAATTCACTTAACCATTCTTTTTGCTAACTGCTCTATAATTAAACCACATAAGATAGAAAAATAAAATGATAAGCAAATATTTAGTATGCAACCATCTTTGTTATTTGGGAATAACTGTGACACATTCATAATCAAGTATTTGCCCCTGTCTAAGGCTTATATCAATAGAATAGATGCCCAATACCTCGATCTGGATTTTCTTTTCTTTATTTCTTTTCTTTTTCTTTTTCTTTTTTCTGTCAAATCTGGTTTGTGTTCCTTAAGGCCCCAATCACCTTTAATAATGTACTCTTTAATATACCAGTCGGCAGTTTTACGTTTTGACAGTAAAAGATTATTGATTACAGTCACTTGTGAAAAAAAAAATGATAGTGGACAATACAAGCTGCCAAAAGTAGTATCAACAAAACTCAAACTCATCCTAGAAACAAACATAAGCTTCCAGAATAAAATAATCATACAAGTACAGTGCACTTCAGGAACAGAATTTGAGATATGTTAGCTCACCAGTAGATAATAGTGCCATTTCTTGAACCTATAGTATATCCAACGAAGAGGAACAAAGATGACGAAGAACAAACAATATACATAGGGGATGTCTTGCGGTCCTGGCAGGAAAAACAAAATGGCAAAAAAGAAAGAAAGAAACTGTAAATTTTTACAAAGAAAAACACTAAAAAAAATTGCAAATGTATCAGTGAGACTTCTCAACTTACTTGCCCCTAAAAGAAAGCAAAAGCCACCAAAACCAAGGACCCCAACGAGATGCGTCACCTGAACATTCATGGAAGAACGTTCAATATTGAATATCCAGTGGGTCCCACAAACCCAATAAATAGTTCAACAGCCAGATAACAGGTTTTCAAAAAGAAAGCATTTTTAGAGGAAAAATGAAACGGGTAAACGAAAACCCACCTTGTTGATGAACCTTTCGTGCTCTTCAGCTTGTTTGGCAATCTTAACGGCCTGTTTGGAAAGCATCTCCTTCGTTGCCAAAAAGAGAGCGACATCGTAAGAATCAAGAACAAGAACAAGAACAAGCACAAGCACAAGAACAATTATTGTACGTAAAAAAAAAAATGGGTTGGGTGATACCTTAGATCTGTCCCTGAACCTCTGTTTATTGGAATAGTGTGCTGCATGGTCTTCAGTGTCAGACATATTTTACTACACAGACACAGAAGAGAAGAGATTGGAGCAATGCTATCATCACAAACAATTGAAACGACACGGAAATCATGGAAACTTTTTAACTCCTGAAAGGAACTTTCTGGTTAATCGGACACCGAACACATTTTCTTTTATCATTTTAATTTATTTTTCATATTCCTCAACTTCATATCGTTTTCCCACTCCCACCGTCACACGTGTAAGACAACTTCTCAAATTATTCCTTCACTGCTTAAACTAAAATCTTATATTTATAATAAATTTAAATATATAATTCATATTTGAATTTAAATATATAATTTATAATAAATTTTTTAAGTTATTGAAATTTATTTAAGACATAAAGATAAAAATGATATATTAAAATAGATAAACACAAAAAAAAAATATTAAGACTTAAATTAACTCTTGATTTTTATAGTTTTCTATAAATTTAGTTGTTCCAATTTTTTTTTATTACAAATTTACTTACCGCGACTTTCAATATTAAATTATATTAATTCACCATCAACATGTCATTTAAAATTAAATATTAAATATCAGAAAGTATTTATGAGTGCTATTACCTATAATTAGTTAGTCACGTAAAAAAAATATAATATTATTCAAATTTTAAAATAAAATTATTTTAATAGTTTAAAAACTTTAACTTAAAAAAGATATATTTGTAATAAAAAATTTAGGTTTAAATATGTTTTTAGTCCTTCAAATTGAAGACAAATTTATTTTTGGTCCCTCAAATTTAAAATTGCTGTTTTTAATCCCTATAATTTTCAAAAATCTTGTTTTTATCTCTTAGGTCACTAATAACATATTTAAAAGTGACTAATTAAGATAATTATACAATATCAATCAAATTTAATGTGATATTTTTACTAATAAAAATATAAATAAGTAGATTTTATGTAATAATGTTTGATAAATTTTTAATAAAATTTGAATGTAATAACTAAAATAAGATCTTTTTAAATTACATAAACTAAAAATAATAATTTTAAATTTGAGAGACCAAAAATAAATTTACCATAAATTTGAAGGACTAAAAATATATTTAAGCCAACAATTTATGTTATCTTTTGCATTTGCATGACTATATAATGGTTACATAGTGTCAATCATGCACACGTTAAGTTTAATATTTAAATATTTGGTATAGTTAAAAAAATAAACCGTTCACCCTAAGATAAAGTATATAACCCTAGATTACTACGGGTACAACTGTACAACTAAGTATGAAGTCGTATATGAATTAAGTATGAACCTGTTGATGGGTTGACCAAACCTCATGGGCGTTGCAGATGGCAACCTATGGCTGGCAAATTTTTGAGCCAATGGATTAGCTCCAAAAATGGGTTAAAAAGGTTAGAATTGAGCTCTAAAATTGTAGGCATGAAATGAAAATATCGAGTCATATTGGTCTGATGTGATAGGTCCAATGAGTTGGCCGAATCCAAAATTGGTTAAATCAAAACATAATTGAGTTTATTTGGCTCTCTGTCTATATGTGTGTGTAACTTTCTTATAAATTTCATATAAAAAATAAAATAGGATTTACACCAACTTGATGTGCTTCATTGGCTAGGCCAAACTAGAATTACAACCCATAAGAAATTTTGCCCAACTCCAACCCAGTTTTCATGGCTTCACTTGTTGCACTTGGCCATTTGACAACTTTATGACAACCACATCTTGCAAGGGTGAAATACAAAACAACAAATTATCGATCTCTAGTATATTTAATATCTCTTTATTAGTTACAAAAAATACTCTCTCCAAACTACCTTTCATAATAATTTGATATGAACAATAAAAGAATGGTTATTGGAAATACGATTCTAATTAGATGAAGAGTATTTTGAGAATAATATTATCAAATAAAGTAAAATTAGTTGAATTTTATTGATATTATTTTTGTCTATAAGATCTTTTCAACTAATTCATACCCCTTAAGAAAGTTAGTTAATTTAGTTAATAACATTAAATTTGTCAATAATTTAAATTATTATTTTTTTAAATGATCCTTCTCAACTTTGAAATTATTCATCTCCCATTTAATTATTTACCACTTAATTAGTTAAATATTTCTTAACTATGCCTTCACATATTCTTCAATTATAATATTAGAGAAAGGAAGAGTTTTATCTCACTAATTTCTAGTGTTTATTAATTATAGGTATTACCAAAAAAAAATTAATGCAAGAGACAACTAGAAAAGGGTCTTGTAAAAAAAAGATAAACAATTAAGTGAAAAAAAAATCTTATATATAATAATAAAGGTAGTAATTTTTATTAATAAAAATATTGCAACCACAATAATAAAGATTAAATTTAAACCAGTAAATCTTCGTGTTTCTATCTCAATCTCCTGCAATAATGGAGGTAGTACTTGAGACCAACAAATATATATTTCTTTTTCTTTTTATATTTGAGAAAAAAATAGTATGATGATTAATAATAAATAAAGGACTAAGAAGTTATGTAGCTAAACAGTTAAAGGATGATTTTACTAAAAATTATTGAAAGGACAACTCTTACTAATTATTAAAATCATTTTCTTCTCAACTTATTTGTCGATAATATTTGTTTTTTTTTGTAATTTATTTAGACTTATTATTGATGCTTATTAGCTTGTGTTTTTTTTATAATAATTACTTTATACATCTGGATAATGTTGAGAATGCTTTTATAAAAGTGAAATGTGAAGAAAGCTTAAGAGATAAAATATGGAAATCAACTTCCCCGCTTCTTTCATTGGAAATAAAAACATGGGAATATCAAAATTATTTTATTTGTGGAAATGCTCTATATTAGGAAATAAATTTTGTAACCTCATAACAAACATGAGAATACATAATTCTTATCCATTTATTCAATTTTCTTAAGAACCGAACTAAATACTAATAAGTTACAAAACTCATTCATACTTTTCAATCAATCAACTAAACTAAACATCTTATAATATGATATCATCCACAAAAAAATACTAAGTATTTAATTTAATTGTGTTAGAATTTAAATTTAGATTTAAAAAGACTAATTAAGTAGCAACAATTTTATGTTAACTAATTAATGTGTTCAACAACAAATGTTAATATCTTTAAAATTAGATTAATCTTTAGATCAGTAAAATCATCTGTTTAAAAATTAATAACTCAATCATAATTTGGTAATTGATTTAATAATAAATAAGTATACGAGAAATTAAGATAGCATATATAAAAAGAATTAGATTTTCATCTTAATGTTATCATTAAAAAAATAAAAATAAAATATAATATAATGCATTATGTTAATATGAAGTTTGGGTATTAAAGTGTTAAAATGAGTTGTAATTTTTAATTTTTTTAATGTAACTTGTTTTTACACGAGTATAGATATGCAAGACACCATTAAATGCATTTAATGTAATTATGACAAAACTATTATGTAGAGTTTTCAACATAATTTTAGATTACACATATTTATAGGTCTTTTTTATGCTTTATAGATAAAATTTTTAATTAATAATATTTTTAAATGATGAGTTCAATTTGTTTTAAATGATTTTAAATTTAAATCGAAAATACTAATTATTAAGAGTATATAGTTATTTTAATATCTAAAATAAGTAGAAATTGAATTAAATCACTAAATTGGATTTATTCATTTGCTTATTTTTGTTGTTATTCGATTTGTTCTCCAACTTTGTAGAAGAAGAAAAATCTCTAGAATGTGTGAATAGTTGTTCGTGTGCAAGTTGGAGATATATAACAGGTAAATTTTTTATGGCATAAATTTTGAGTTAAATGAAATGGGTGTATAGTAAAAATATGTTTATTTAGTTTAAATCTTCCTTAATTTGAAACTGCCTTTGAATTTTTGGATGTAAAAAAATCAATATGATATAATACAATTAATATAAAAAAAAAATTATATGATATAATACAATTAATATTAAAAAAAATCAATTTCAAACTGACTTACTTTGAATTAAGATTTATTAAAATATTATATGATTAGAAATCTGATATAAAATCGATCATATGTTAATTTAGTTTGATACCTAGGTTAATCTGATCATAGTATATTAAAACTTTTATCTAATTATAGTATATATTTTGACAATTGAATTACATTTTTTTTATTTATAAAAAAATGTTAAATTGAGTTGATTTTGTCTTAATTTCTCAATGTAAATTTAATAAATTCTACGGAAATTATTTAGGCTAATTTAACTTGCAACTTATTTTATAAAGACAAACAAAAATAATGAAGTTATTTATATATATTATGATAAAAAAAAATCAATTTGAAGTTTAAAGTAAATTTAGCCTAAATATTATTTCTTACTAAATTTGAACGTAAAAGTTAAGATATTATATAATTTGAAATCTAACAATAATCTCAGATTAAGATTTCAATTATAGTATATATTAACATTTCAATCTATACATAAAAAAATATATTAAGGTTTCAATCTTATTATAGCATATGATTACCGTTTTCTGATTTTTTTTTAAAAGGATTATAATGTTTTTTAAAAAATTGATTTAATTTTAGGTTAACTTAATGTTTAACTTATGTTATAATGACAAATAAAATTAACGTATTTATTTATGTGTATATATTTTATGAATAATAATTATAATAAATTAAGGATTGTGTATTTTAAAAAAGAAAATAATCAAACAAATAACATTGTAATCGGTCAAATTATATGATTAAATTATTGTGTATTATTAGCAATAATAATAGTCGTTGATAGTGTCAGTGACGGATCCAGAAATTTTAGATAGTGGGGACAATATTTATTCATATATTTTTAATATTAAAAATTTTATATATAATTTTTAAAAGTATAAATATATATTATAATTATTTTTTTATAAATTTTTATATCTATAATCACGATTAAAGATGGAAATAAATTAGGTCAGACTATGTTATATTATAATTTAATATATTTGAGCCTAACTTTCTTTAAAAATACATGTTCTAAATATGACATATTTATCTGCATAAACATTTTTTAAATGTTTAGTTAAAACTACAATCTTAAATACCTACTTTATAATAATTTAAAACTAATAAAAATATAAAAATAAATATGATAAATTTTATAAAAATCAAGTTTAATTTACTTATGATATAAACATGTTTTTAATATATGATATAAATTTTTAGATGATAATTTATTTTAAAACATATTTTATAATAAAAATTATAAATAGATCTTCTAATCTTTCCTATTTTGATTTTTTAAATCAACATATACAATCTTACAATTTTTACTATTTTGATTTTTTTATCAACATATACAATAAATAGAAAGCACAAAAGATAAACATGCATGTTGTAAATTTTATTTTATCAAAAAATAATATATTATATTATACATGTGA